ACAAGATTATCAAGATGCAAGCATCCGATGCCCTTTTTCGCACTCTCTGCGTAATAGTCTATTTTCTGCGAATAAACTTCGTCATTGCGTTCTTATTGTCGATGATGATAACGATATGAGGTACAATTTATTAATTTATTTGCAAGCAATTTCATTACGCCTCCCAATTAAAAATATTGATGTGCAACATATACTGTTTTATGTTTATTATTCAAGAAATTACCTCTTTAGACTGTTGCATGGTGAATTCGAGGTATACCGTGCTCACGATGGACACGATGCCTTGACGATGTTAAAGAAGCTTCCGAAGCTACCCGATTTAATTCTGAGCGGTAGGGTGTATATACCATATGTTCGTAAAACATGGATTTTCTAGTCAAGTCACATCTAACATTTCAACAGACAACAAGGTATCAAATTTGGAAGTCTTGAGGTCTGATCCGAAAACTCAGTTTATCCCCGTAATCTTGCTGTCCGCGGGTGAGAGTATTGGTGTAGAAGGTAAATAAATAATTTCAAATTTCAATCAACACATTCTCCTACCTCTCGCCATTTACAGATTATTTTTGTTTCCGCTTCAGTATTAGAAGAGGCAGATGATTATTTAGTAAAGCCATTTTGTGCTATGGAGTTGATCATTCGTGTCAGGGCCAATATTAAACTCTCGCGTGTTCGTCGGAAATATTTATTACAACAAAAATGGCAATCCGAGACCAGAGAAATACTGTCCTCCATAAGTTACAAAATTCGCTCCGGGTTTGATACAGAAGAAGTACTCGCCTCCGCTGTTAAGCAAATTCATAGAATATTGCCTAGCGATAGAGTATTCATTATCAATACCAATTCTGATAATCACGAGGATTATCATATAATGGCTTTATCATCTACCGACCCAAACGAGCATAACCTTATGGGAAAACGAATAGATAGTGTGATCGGAGAAAAGGATGTGGATCCCTCAAACGCACATATGGAATCAATTGCGGAGGTATACCAGAGGCTTCAATTTTCCAACGAATCTATTATGGTAGACACAAAAGTCTACTCTAGACTGGTTGAAAGTTACGTTTCTACGATTTTTACACCGATTAGAACGAACTCTTCTTCAATCTGGGGATGGCTATTTGCTTACAGGTCGCCGAATAGCACTTGGTCAGATTCTGAGAAAGAATTCATTGAACAAAGCTCGGTTCAAATTGGTTTGGCGATTACACACTCAATGCTTGTGGAAGAAAAGCTGAAAAAAGAAGCTCAAATGGAAGCCGCGAAAGCAGCTAATGAAGCCAAGGTTCAAATATTAAATAAGACCTCACATGGTAGGGTATTTTCTCGAACTCTCTCGTTTTCTTTTTTAGTTTTACCTTAACTGACAAAATTCTTCATTCGTAAATTAACGCTAGAACTCCGGACACCGTTGGGAGCGATTATAGGAGTATTATCGGCATTTGAGGACACTCCACTAACCGACGATCAAAAAGAGATGGTTCACATAATGATGCGTGCGTCCGACATTGTCCTTTCGGTGGTTAACGACATTCTTGACGCTGCGAAACTTGAGGCGCAAAAAATGATACTTGCAAATAAAACATTTGATCTGCCTCGCTTGGTCGACGAGACCCTTAACATACTCGGGGAAAAGGCCGGAAATAAGAAAATTGAATTGATTGTATGCTGCGATCACACATTACCTAGATACGTAAAGTCAGACCCCGATAGGTACGTAAGGAATATGCGAGTAGAATGGAATGAAATAAGAATTTAACTGTGTGTCATCTTTCATCAG